ATGAGTATTTGCTGATTTACTGCGTATTTATTGAGTAGTTGCTAAGTATTTGTAATACTCAGTAAATACACAGCAATCCGAACGGTTGTTCCCATCCGGACTCCGCACAGAATAATTCCTCATTCAACTGATTCAAGCATATGTTTTGCTCGCCTTTTTATTTTTCTTCTCATTTATCCTGTGAAATTTAACTGATTGAAGAACAAGGACTTTTCTTCTTCTGTCTGTCCGTCATTGTGAGGTCATGCGAGCATGCTAATTTCTCAGCAATGCTGGATCTTTGATTCTAGGCTACTATTGACTCATGACAATCATCTTTGTGAGCCACTTTGGTCCTATTTTCTGGTAAGCCATCTAATAACCTCCCTCATGAGGAACTTTGGTCCTGCAAGTTGGTAAGGCCATGCTTAAAAAACCACCTAATATCACCCTTATGACACAATGTTAATAAGGCCCTTTTGTTAGAGAGTATGAACTAAAAGTGAATTAAGTTGGGCTTGATATGCTAGTAATTAAGTTCATTTTTAAACCAAAAGATTAAGCTTAATCACTAGATATATCACATGATGCTTCAAGACTCTGAATACTGTAAATTTTATCTGGCAAGCCCATTTTTTACTTTTGGGAGGCCATCATAGTTATTTTGTAAGTAATCGCGTAGCTTGAAATGCTCAAATTATGCCTTTGGATCCTATAAGCCTTTCAGTTGCTTTGCTTTTCAGACGAACAATTGATTTTATTCCATTGAAACCTTCTTTTCTTTACTGGAAACTAAATTCACGCAAAATAGACCACAGGTTGTTATTCTGCATATCTCCATAAGCTAATTTAATTGGTTGGAAACCTGGCAGCTACTGGTAAATCAGCTGGAGCCTCTAACTGAGCAGCAGCTGGTGGGAATCTGCAACCTTCAACAGTCCTCACAACAGGCAGAGGATGCTCTTTCACAAGGCATGGAGGCGCTGCAACAGTCCTTGGGTGAAACTTTGGCTGGGTCTCTTGGAACCTCTGGATCTTCTGGTAATGTTGCAAACTACATGGGACAGATGGCTATGGCCATGGGTAAGCTTGGCACCCTTGAAAACTTCCTTCATCAGGTGAATATATCGAAGTTGATTTCTCAGCTTTCCCTCTTTTTCCTGCTTTTTCACGGAAGAACTTTCTTATGATGGTTCTCAGGCTGACAATCTACGACAGCAAACCCTGCAACAAATGCACAGGATATTAACAACTCGACAATCTGCTCGAGCTCTTCTTGCCATTAATGACTACTTCTCCAAGCTTCGTGCTCTGAGTTCTCTCTGGCTTGCCCGTCCTCGTGAGTAATGAACAAGATGATTCATTTTTAGTTTTCTTCGAGTTCACATGATCTCAAGTGAAGGCAGCATTTTGTATATCTTGCCTGTATGCTTTCTCACATTGCAGATAGAAGCTGACCAGCTTTCTAATTTTGTAACAAATGTATCTAGTTGTGGAGATCCACAATTTCATGTGTATTACCTTTTGTATCAAAAAAATGGAAGATTTTATTTTATTTTAGTTTATTTTATTATTATTATTATTATTTTGGTATAATGTAAAGTTAAGCTCTTCAGTTCAAACTGTGAAAGGTGTAATTACTCGATAAAATGATTGGAATGTGATGCTCAACTTGTTGGACTCTTGCTATTTTGTTGAGACAACATTTTTGTCTAAAAAGTGCTCTCATAATCTAGAGAAATTATTTTGTACGGAGGCTGGACATATTTTTATCTCCGGAGGTGAATCAGGTGCAAACATGTCAGAGGTATTAAGCCACAGTACCGAGCTAAAGGATAACATGGTACATTCAAGTTGGCCTTTAGACGATGGAAAAAATAGGCATTTGGTGTCTGCACAGAATAATTAATCCATAATCTATGACCCTGAAAAAAAAAAATCTAAGGCTAATAGTCTTTTTGCGATCATTATGCACATTTTTATTAATATTCAATGATATTTTTAGAATTCTTTTTAATATTAATATTGTAATACTAATTCTCATAAAATAATTTATCCCATAACATAGATCAAATTATTCACTAAAAAAATTAAATTTCAATAAAATTTAAAAAACTTATATCTATAAATATATATAATCATTACATACCAATTATATTCATTAGTATATTTATTTTTAATTGGAGCATGAATAAAATAGTTTGATGTGTTTAATTGGAGCATAAATGAAAATAATCCATAAAAAATCTCTAAGATTAAAACATTTAGTTTTAATTATTTATTATATATATACCATGTTGTGTTTTGGAGTATTCGCAGCGGTAGAGAAATATATAGTTTAACGTCTTAGCATTGTACGAAGATCCATCACACAATCAGATAAGTGAGAGGGTGTAATATTCATAAGAGATACTAGAGTTTTTACGTGGAAAACCCCTAAAAAAGGAGAAAACCCACGGGGCCTGGCCCAGTTTGAATGAATCCACTAGTATTTGCAATCGATTACAAATGAGACCCTTCTTAGAGAGAAGGCCTTAGCTTGATGTTACAAATGTAAATCATATAGAGCACATTACATGGTGGGAGTTACAATAATCAACATAGACATGTTTGTTTGGTTGGAAGGGCTGTAGTCGGCAGGAGACAAAGGTCGGAAAGACTATTGTTTGTTGATGGAGGTCGGAAGGACCATAATAGATGATGGAGGTTTGGAGGACCATAGTATGCGACGGAAGTTAGAAGAACCATAGTCGGCAGGAGACCGGGGTCAGAAAGACCGTTATTGGCAGGAGATCAGGATCAAAAAGATTGTTGGTGTAGGACAGTACTTTGGTAGAACTCTAGGCATAAGCTGATGGCCTAATAGAAGTTCAGGCATCAGGTGGTGGTCCGGTAGAAGTCAGGGCCTTAGGTGGTGGTCCGGCGGAGCAACGGTGTCAGGTGGTGGTCCGGCGGTGGTGAGGGCCTCAAGTGGTGGTCCGGCGGAGCAACGACGTCAGGCGGTGGTCCGGCGGAGCAACGACGTCAGGCGGTGGTCCGGTGGAGGCGAGGGCCTCAAGTGATAGTCCGGCAGAGCAACAGCGTCAGGCGGTGGTCCGGCGGTGATGAGGGCCTCAAGTGGTTGTTCGGCGGAGCAACGACGTCAGGTGGTGGTCCGACGGAGGTGAGGGCCTCAAGTGGTGGTCCGGCAGAGCAACGGCATCAGACGGTGGTCAGGCGGTGGTGAGGGCCTCAAGTAGTGGTCCGGCGGAGCAACGACATCAGGCGGTGGTGAGGGCCTCAAGTGGTGGTCCGGCGGAGCAACGGCGTCAGGCGGAGGTCCAGTGGAGGTGAGGTCCTGAAGTGGTGGTCCGGCGGAGCAACGATGTCAAGCGGAAGTCCGACGGAGGTGAGGGCCTCAAGTGGTGGTTTGGCGGAGCAACGACGTTAGGGGATGGTCCAGCGATGGTGAGGGCCTCAAGTGGTGGTCCGGCGGATGGCGTCAAGCGGTGGTCCAGCTGTAGTGAGGGCATCAAGTAGTGGTCTGGCTGAGCAACGGCGTTAGGCGGTGGTCCGGCGGTGGTGAGGGTCTCCAGTGGTGGTTTGGTAGAAGTCAGGGCCTCAGGTGGTAGTCCGGCGGAGCAACGACTTACGACGTCAGGCAGTGGTCCGACGGTGGTGAGGGCCTCAAGTGGTGGTCTGGCAGAGCAACGTCATCAGGCGGTGGTCTGGCGGTGGTGAGGGCCTCAAGTGGTGGTTCGGCAGAAGTCACGGCCTCAGGTGGTAGTCCGGCGGAGTAATGATGTCAGGCGGTGGTGAGGGCCTCAAGTGGTGGTCCGGCGGAGTAACGGCATTAGGCGGTTGTCCGGCGATGGTGAGGGCTTCCGGTGGTGGTCCAGTTGGAGCAACGGTGTCAGGCGGTGGTCCGGCGGAGGTGAGGGCCTCAAGTGGTGGTCCGGCGGAGCAATGGCGTATGGCAGTGGTCCGGCGAAACTCCAGCGGTGGTCGATTAGGAGCTTCTTCCTTCTCTTTTCTTCTTCCCTTCTTGCTTCGGTCCTCCCCTCAAGAGAAATGAGGGATCTATTTATAGATTTTTTGGAGTGGCATGGCCCGTAAATAGGCAAGAGATCATGGGTAAATGTGGAGTGGTTGAATGGACGGCCGATGTTGAATCCCATGATTGTGGGCCGTTCGTAAGACAATTGAAGGTCTTAATGATGTCGGAATTCAGCGATCTTGGGCTCGTTGGATTTGTCTTGTCGAGCCGCTCGATTCGACTATAAGCACGTCATGTTTGGAAACTGTTTGGTAACCCAAATTGTGGTTTGAACCTTCCAATAGCGCTACGGGTATTTGATTTGTACTCATTTGGGCTCGTATTGAGTCGAATTTGGTGTCGTTGGGTTCATATTTCTGAGACGCTCAATTTGACTATAAGTTTGCTGAAATCGGAGTTCAAGTGGTCTCCGAATTAATTTTTGAAGTTTCCAACTTGATTTTGCATCGAGATTCGCGCCCGATCAAGATAATTATTTGACGACGTATCAATCATATAATTATACCAAGAGACCCATCATAAAACTCTAAGACTCGTATTCTTTTTGAGACTATTATACAGAATTTTTATATGCAATGATCTTTTTTATAATTTCTTAATACTCATTCTCATAAAATAATTTCTCTCATAATATGGATCAAATTAATCGCTAAAAAGAGTCAATTTTCAATAAAATTTGTAAAACTTATATCTATAAATATATAAAATTATACCATATCAAATACATCCATTAATATATATATATATATATATAATTGGAGCATGTTTAATTGAAGCATAAATGAAAATTAATCCATCCAAAAATTTGAAAAAAAGAAAATCTTAAATGCCAATTGGAAAATACATAGAAAAAAAATTCTTTTTTGAAAAAAAAAAAGAGTCAAATTTGATCTAAAGATGCAAAATTGTCGATACGCAATCAATATAAAAGACGCTCTTTTATTAGCATGAAAACAGGTGTAGCCTTCCCTCCATCCTCCTTTTTTCTTCTTTCTGTTAGCGAGAAAACCGGTTTGAATGTATTTGTCATACTATTATTAGAACTTCCATTTCTGTCGCTCTCCAAAACCTTTTCTTTGGGTTCCACCCGAATCCCCTTCCTCTTCAGATATGGCCCTCAAACCAGCCAGCCCGTACCGCAAGGAGGTACTTTTAGAACTAGGAAGGAAGGATTTGAATGGAAGGAAAGGGATTGAATGCCAGTGATTTACAATGTTTTGTTTTTAATTAGGGTTTAGGCGTCGGCGATTGTTTATTGTTATGAGTTCTTTTCCCTTTGCATTGGTCGATTGTTTAACGTAAACATAATACGTTTCATCATAGTTTAAGATATGATAAATATACGTTATTGAAAAGTTTATATTTTTCAGTGTTTGTAACTGTTGTTCTTCCTGAATTTGAGAAGCCTCTCTGCTGCGATCCTTGTTGCATTCCATTATACTCTAATGGCTCTTTGGTTACATTTGTTTTCATCTTATGTTTCGTCTTTTTAAGAATGATGTTTATTGACCTGTGGATTTACCTTTTCAGAAAGATGGTTGGATGGCCGTGCCGCAATTTGGTGGTTGGGATCAGAAAGCTGGAGGAGGAACTCCTGATTACTCCATGGTTTTCACCCGTGCTCGAGCAAACAGGAAGCAGCAGAAGATTGATGTGAGCAGCACAAGTCTTGGACATGAGAAGGAATTCCTCAATTTCCCGGTTCCGCAAGCAGAGCAGAATTCTACAATGGTAATGATCAAACTTTGCATTCTATACATTGATCTCTCTTGTTTGATGTCATTGAAAACTGCTGAGAGATTAAGCAACGTGCTTACAAAAAAATGTCAAACATGCTCTTTTAAAATGAAAAAAAATGGAGCCCTTCTTCAACTTTTCTGATATGAAGAAAGGCTAACCCTCTTTTATTTCATGACAAAGGATTGTTTGACTTGCATCTGATGTGGTGTTTTCCTTTTGATGTTTGAGCACAAATAGTTCCAATCCTTAAAATAATTGGAGGAGATGATATTGCTCAAGCATTTGATGGAAACTACCACTTATAGGAAAAAATCATGCAAGTTCTTCAATCATACTTCAATCATACGTACTTTGGCAATTTGTTTGCTTTATGTTTTATTTGGATTGCAAGGATCGCAACATTGAGGCTGCTTTTTGTGTTGTTTAAATCATAATTATTTGCCTTGTTGATAATTTTCTTTGATTCTTGGATGATTGTATTGAGAAATGTCTTAATATTAATTATTTTTCTAATTAATTTTTTGTTATTGAGTTTTAATTTCATGTATAAAATACATTTGTGTGTGGGAACATTTGTGGACGTAGAGAGATAGATTTAATGTCCTAGCTTTGCATGAAGATCCAATACACACTTAGATAAGAGAGAGAGGTGCAAAAAATGTAAGGGACACTACGTTTTTTATATAGAAAATCCATGAAAAGGAAAAACCATGGTGCTTGACCCGGTTAAAAGGATTCCACTAGCATTTATCATTGATTACAAATGATACCCTTCCTTGAAGGAATGCATTGATACAATACAAAGAACATATTATATGGTTGAAGTTGGAAGATGCCTTTGGCAAGAATCCAACATAAAGCCAAGTGCTGAAGTTGAGAGTCATAGTTGGTGTTGGCGGCGTGCATCGATCTTGTAAGTAACGACGTGACTTGGCATTATCGATGATAATAAGTGATGAAGTTGGTAGGCATTGAAGTAGCTAAGCGACACTAGTCAAGAGATTGTGGATCGATGGAGTGCAAAACTGTATCGATTGATTTCTAGTGGAAAGGCCGCCATAAACCTGTAGCAAAAAAGTACTCTTTTATTTAAATTCTCTTATAATTACCAACAATCAAGCATAACATGATACTCACATAATATTATATTGAAATACCAATTTTAATAAATTAACATTAAACTAATGTAGATTGAATTAATAGATGAACAACTGCATAAGTTCTATATCAATACATAAAATAAATAAAATACAAGCGATCATCAACATCATCTCTAAAACTAACACTGCTATTCATCGTTCGTGTCCTCACTCTCCTAAGCCTGTACAACATAGTGATCACGATGTTGCTCAATGAATTTATGTATATAACTTTGTTGCATTTGTATTTCGACTTGTATTTTTCATATTTTCTCTTGCTCTTCTATCAGGGTGGCCACCTTTCATCTAATTTGCTCCTCTTGTCCATTATCTACGAAGCCTATTGAGCCAGACAATCGTGCCTCATATACATAGGCTTGAGAGCATAATCCGTAAACTCTCCTCTTATGCATCCCACCCACTATATTTGACCACATATTGTAGTCAAACACTATGTCGATCTCGCAAAGGATCTCTTACCAACAGAAGCTTGGCTCTCCTGAAGCCGTATATAATCCTCCTGAAATATGTGAAATACATTTAAGATTCTATATAAGTAATTTGAAAACATAATAATTATGAAAGTTCTAATCGTCACATATTTTTTCCTTGATAATTGATCAACCCACTCATGGTTCTCCTAACGCTGGTGGGTGCAAGTATGTAATTCCATGGAAGTGGGCAATCTACCCAATGCTTCTTTCTATGGAAGAATACATTAAGTTAGCCTAACAACTAAAAACATATAGGTCTAAAAATATGTAAGTTTATAGTAGATGTTGCCTATGCTTAATATGTGAAACTAAGCTACCAGCATGGAGGTAGTTGCCCATGCCCCTAATGTCAGAAACTATGTTATAATTATTTTGCTCCCTGCTTATGGTATAATCTGGGTTGTCATAAGTTCTAGTCAAATCTGCCCAAACACCCTCACCAATTCAAAGAGGTCGCTTACATGACTTATGAATATATATAAACATATCTTGTAGGTAAGTTGACCCTCACCTCTCGAAGTTTTTTTTAATCCTGTCATTATGTTGGAGCAGTCACCTAAAATATTTCTTAGAGTACTTTGAATGTATGTTCATTATTTAAATATATGATTATTTACCTTAAACTACCAGAACCACATTTCTCGCGTATCCTGTAGTATTTTCTTTCATGAAACATAAGGAGCATCATACTTGCTTCTTATGATGTCTATGATATTATGTGTTGGCGGCTTAGACAGATTGAAGCTTTAAAAAGAAAATATCCAAATTAGTATAAGTTGATCGTGAATATAAAAAAATATTTTGCACTAACATGTCTTTGTCTGGCTATATATACATGCGACCGTCTCTTGCTGGTGAACCACCCTCAGGTCGCTACTCTGTACTTGTTGATGGTCCACTTGTATATGGTTTTGGTGGGGGTGCATAATAAAAAGGCTATAAGTATGACTAGTATGGGTAAGTGGAAGAGCCTGCCTGAGATGGTGGTGGGGGATAGTATGGGTAGAAGGGGATGGCATACATAGGGTCTAGTGAAGAGAAGCGAGAGTCTAATGAAGGAAAACGAAAGTTGGTGTTAGTAGTATTTGGAAAAGTACCTTGGCTCAACATTGTAAGTTGTGATCTAGTTGTCCCCTTAGCCTGTGCTGGCCTTTTGTTCACTTTCGTACGCCGACCAAATATGTTTGTAATCGACTTGCGAGGGGGCTCATCCTTGGATGCCATTTGAAACAAAAATAATAATGAATTAGAAACTAATTATGTAGAAAAGAAAGATTACAAAAAGTTATTATCCAACAAATTATATATCACAAGAAATCATTTTATAAATGAGAACTATCTATGTAATAAAGTAAACAAAGCAATAGTTCATGTTTTATGACATTTAATTGATAAGAGTTAAACAACATGGCACTCAAGAGTTAGTAGATTGGGTTTCACTTGAGTTTAATGTATCTTTGTCAATTGACTCGTTCTTACTATTGGTATCATTATAAATGTCATCCTCTTCCATCTGTACCTCAGTGTCGTTCATCATAGTATGGTTTTCAACCTCAGTATTTGGTTCTTTAAAATCTGACATTTTCTCTTCTTGATATGCTACCTGTATCATATCATGACTCTCAATGATATCTTGAGGTTTAATTTTGATAAATACGAGCCAATCTTATTTATGTTTTACTCTGGTTGAATATCTAGTACATTAAACTTGACTGGTTAGTGTTCTTTAATGAATAGACCAAATTTAGAATATATCTTATTCCTCTTCACATCGATAATGTCGTAAAGTAGATGGACCCTCGTACCTCTATTTGGGATTAGTTCATACCACTCACAGTTAAAGAGGTATTCCAGATTGTTGTCTTCACATGGATATTGTAATTGAATAACCTCCTTAAAAATACTAGAATAGTCGCACACATTTTTTATATGAGTGTTTCACCTAGCATAAACATGACAAATTTCAAATTTTCTACTTTCACTTCAATATTTGATGTGAAATCTATATCTATTTACGAGGAAAATTGGTCAGGTCTTAACTGCTCACCATGGACTCTAGGCAAGGTCATGTAATCCTTTGTCGAAAATCATATTTGCTTGGTTGCAAACTTAATGCACATATTAAAACATTAGGATAACTGAGAGAGATGTTGGGAGGTTTAAAATAATTTTACTAATAGGAGTATAGAAATATACGAATGTCTAAAACCATTTTGCAAATTCCCCCTCAATTTTGTTTTTATCTATGGCGATTGTAGCTGTTGTGGGTAACGAACTAATAAACATCCTGCAAACCACTAGTATTCGTAAGATTATGGATAAGCACCTTGTTGGAATGACAATAATTATGTTAATGATGCTTACTCTAAAAAGGGCTCAATGTCTTAGTAGTTGAAGAGGGTGTACAATGTAGCATCTTTGATCTCCTTATCAGTTAGATATCTAGATATACATCTTCATGATGGTTGCCTCTATAAATAAAAAAATGATAATATTAATTGAGAACTACCCTCCACGACCTCCATATTTTGACAAACCTTTGTTCTAGTACTTTCAACATGTGGTTCGAAGCAGTAGGAACAAAATTGGGTGGTCTCGTATGATAGATATGTTTCTCATATTAAACATTTTGATCTTGCATTGTTCTTAATCGATTTTTTGAACTTGTTTAAATATATGCACAATAATGTGTCTTTTAAATGATTTTTTTTAAAAGAAGAAATTCATTTCCATTTAAGGCAATAATAACTACATATCTCTCAAATGGATGCATCCATCAATATTGGACTAGACCACCTATTCTCTCCTCATATAATTAATACACAGTTAGATACTCCACGGAGTCAAAGAAACCATGAGGAAAAAATTTCTTACATTTATAGAGAATAAATAAGATATTATGCTCACTCAGTATTAGTGCATCCTTATTCAATCTTGTAGAATATGCATCCTTAAAAAACTACTAAATTAAGTTAATGGACTTAAGATTAAATCTAGTAAGAAGCTGAATGCTACATGTAACACACACTCCATGAAGATATGACAGCCATGACTTTTAATGCAAAGCAATTTTCTTGATCTCATGCTTACACATTTGGTTATATTTGAAGGATACCCATATGACATTTTCAAGCTCTCGACCCACTCACACACTATTTGATTATGTTCTAAAGTTAGCGAGAAAGGAGCTTTTGGCTTTAATATTTATCACTCTCACCATCTTTGAGATCAAGATCTTTTCTCTTGCAGTACCCCTTTTTGTTCATTCTTGCCTTCAAGTTATCTTTTGAGTTGTCTTTCAAATCTATCACAATATTGAATATGTTATCAAAAAACTTCATCTCAATGTGTATAACAT